CACCTGACCATATATAAATATATATATAACTGCATAATATAATAACTGCATAATATTAAATTGAGTTGTACTTTACAATTTACTTCTAACTCCACTATTGCTAGACATCTGCAGGAGTAAGAATTGACTTTGAATCTTTTTAAAAATTTATTTTTATTTTATGTGTATGAGTGTTATGCCTGCTTATATGTAAGTGCACCTGTGTTGTGTAGTATCCATAGAGGACTGAAGAGGCCATCAGATCCTGGAACTGGCCAGTGCTGAGACTAAAGGCGTGCACCACCGCACCTGACCATATATAAATATATATATAACTGCATAATATAATAACTGCATAATATTAAATTGAGTTGTACTTTACAATTTACTTCTAACTCCACTATTGCTAGACATCTGCAGGAGTAAGAATTGACTTTGAATCTTTTTAAAAATTTATTTTTATTTTATGTGTATGAGTGTTATGCCTGCTTATATGTAAGTGCACCTGTGTTGTGTAGTATCCATAGAGGACTGAAGAGGCCATCAGATCCCCTGGAACTGGAGTTACAGATGGTTGTTAGCTGCCATGTGGGTGCTGGGATTTGAACCTGGGTCTTCTGCAAGAACAGCCAGTGCTCTTAACAGCTAAGCCATCTCTCCAGACCCTGAATTTGAAACTTTTGATGTTCACTGTCAAATTGCTTTCCAAAGGCTGTGGCATTTTATAGTAACATGGAATAATTTTTGACCTGGTTGTGATACTTGCCAAGTTTTCTAATTTTGTTTTACAAGTGGAATGGGGATTATGTGACATGTTCCTTAAGGAATCAGAAAACTCTGACTGGAGAGATGGCTCGGCAGTTAAGAGCACTGAATGCTCTTCCAGAGGACCTGTGTTTAATTCCTAGCACCCACATGGTGACTAACAACTGTCTGTTACTCTAGTTACAGGGGATCTGACGCCCTCTTCTGGTCTCCATGAGCTTTGCATGACATGAATACACTTAAGTACATTCAAGCAAAACACTCATACACATAAAAAATAAAAAAATAATAAAATTGGCAGCAATTCACTCAATCAAACAGCTCATCAATCAGAAACATTTAGATGGTGTACTAAGAATTACATGTGAGAAGTTCAAAGTTATTATGTGACTAAGAAACAGTAACAGTTACATGAAAAAAAAAGTCCTTTAGTCTTAAAAGCATCTATAGCACAGATTTTATTTATTTTTATCTTTAGTTTTTTGAGATAGGGTCTCCCTGTAGCCACAGTTGGCCCCGAACTTGCTATGTGGACCAGGCTGGCCTCCATCTCACAGAGATTTGCTTACTTCTGCCTCCCAAGTGTTGGAATTAAAGGCATGTACCACCACATTCAGTCATAGCACGGATTTTAAAGCACGGGTTTTATAGTACAGATCAGGCTATATTTCAATGGTTGCTTTACTGGATTACATACTTGTAGTACGTTGGGTAGGATGTACAGAGATACTCTGTCTTCCTTCTACACCAGGGCCAGGTCTGGATAAAAGCTGTAATATAGGTGAGACTCAGATTGACAGACAGTCCTATCCTACAGACTGTCTACTTGTCTAGTGTCTCCTGGAAGCTACCTGTCTTCTTGGAGATTGACTTAAAGATGTTACTAGTGCAAGTGTTAGCTCCGCTGGGGTTGTTAAGCTGGGAATATGGGAACTTGGAGCTGCTGGTGGCCACCTCCTCCCACTGTACAGAAGGATCCAGGTGCTATAGGAGAAAATGAGGATAACAAGAAGAAAACAAAACCAGGTGAGTGAGAGCATGAGAAAATAGCTTAACTAATACCAGAGGTAGCCTGCACTTTGCCTGTGGTGTTTTGGGGATGCATATATGCCACTCTAATGCGTGACTTCAGTCAGACAGTTTTAGCTAGCAGGCTAAGACAGACACACAGACATAGATGTTTCTCTGTTCTTTGAGCCAATGTCTGGCTATACTGGGCCTGACTTGACCTTGGGTTCAGATGGTCCTCTCATTTGAGCCTTCCAAATAGCTGGGTTTAGAGGCACATACCACCATGTGTGCTCAGCTAGAGACCTCTTTTACACCAAGGCCCAGGCCTTCGTTTGTCCTGTCTTCTCAGGGCTGGGTAATCCTCCACTCTTACCTTGCTCCCCATTCTAAGACAGCCCCCTCCAAGTGTTCTAGACTCTTCTTCAGTGAACTTCCTCCTTCCCATTCTGGCTGAACCTTGGTGTATTGTCTCACTCTCTTTGCTTCCTTATTTTTCACCTCAACCTGCTCCAGATGGTCTTCCACCGCCTCCCCGCCCCCGAACAGCTTGACGATTACCAAACGCTTGTCCATTACGGAACCCACATGGCATCTTTTCTCCTTGTGAGTTTAACCTCAGTATCATTTGGCCCAGATGACCACCTCTCTCTCCTGGATAGTTTTTCCTTGACTTCACAAATGCTTATCCATGACACCCTCTTGGCCTTCCTCCTCGTTTCATGAGTGCTGCCTCTCAGCATCTTTGTCCCCTTCTTCACTTCTAAATGTTGGGGTTTCTGAGGGGCTCTGTCTCAGCTCTTTTTTCCAATGCAACTCCCTCCCTTATTTTATTTTTTATAACAGAATCTCATCCACTATTTCAGCTTACTATGTCTATACCTTGGCTCCTAAATTTATGTCTTTAGCCCAGACTGTCCCTTGGAGTGTCACAGTCACCTAGCCAATTGCCCTGTTTCAGATTTCCACTTAAATGTATCAAACATATATCAAACTTGACAAGTTTCAAATTGAACTCTTCATCTTCTCCCACAAATCTTTTTCTCCTGCAATGTTTCTTAACTCCTTAATGGCTCCCAATGCACATAGTTGTTTAAGCTGCATTCTGCAAGTCATGCTAGAGGCTTTCCTTTCCTCCTCTCCATTCAATCCATCCCCAAGACCTGTCAGTGGTCCACCTCCTTAATGCTTTTCAAGATGACCTATTTATCTTCAGCTCCATCTGCACCTCCACAGTCCTAGGCAACAGCAACCACCCCACTGTCTCCTAAACCCAGGTTTTTTCTTTCAATCCATTCACCACACAGCCCAAGAGATGGTTTTAAAACAGAAATCGCAACGTGTCCTGGTTCTATTTAACAGCCTCCTGGGTTGTCCATAGGAAATGTGAGTAACTCTTGATCCCCTAGCCTAGCAGTGTGGCCAACTTTTTAGGCCGTCCTACCCACTCCACTCTTTTTTCCTGTCTCCAGTGACATACAGTCCTCTCTACATTCAAACAGGTGAAACCATGGTTTCTCAGGTACTCTGGTCTGGCCCTATGTGGTTCATGTCTTCAGAAAACTCCTCCCTGACCAACCACAGGGATTACATGTCTCAGGGCACCTTGGGCTTTTCCTTCCCTCTTGCCACATGTGATGTCCTCTATTTGTTGTTTCTAGGTCTCACAGGAGTGTAAACCCCAGCAAAGACAGGTACCTGGCCATCCTGCCCAGATGCCCATGCTGGTGCCTGATAGGCTAACTATGGAGGTGTCCCTCCTACATCAACACCAGGTCAGTTATCAGCTGCTCTTCATTTGGGGACAGTCTTCTTTCACTGCCAAAGCCTTACTGCAGCAAATCCCTCAGTGATTCTTAAAGCTAGAGTCCAGCTCTTTGGAGGAGGTGACAAAGTTGATTCAAAGGATGGACTTGACTTCTTGCCCAGGAGCACTAGCTCCAGCTAGGTGCTCCTGAGATGTTTGCTAGCATACTTTACAAGCTCTGCTTAAAACCCAAGTGACCTGCTGCATCTCTGCCCTGCTCTTTCAGGAAGCTTTGGTATTTTGAAGGCAGGCCTGCCCCTCTGCACCATTGTTCTTGTTTTCATTCTACAGTGTGCTGTTATTACTGGTGAGGCTCAAGTCACTAGTGTGAAATTGCTGAGAACCTACTCAGAGAACCCATCAGATGCTAGAAGGTGGGAGCTAGAAAGACCAGTCTGCTCTACGAGAACCAGTATGGCAAGACAGTGTCACTGTCTCTTAGAATGGCCGAGACTTTATGGGAGACAAATTAGTTGTGGGTAGCCATCAGGGAGCAAGCTCTGTGGCAGAATGGAGTATACCAAAGGGTGGTTCTACTGGACAAAACCTGCACAAGTCATGGGGTGGGGAGGATCAGATGGCTGCCCATTCTGGCAGCAATAACCCGGAATGTTCCTAATAATAAGTGGATTCTTAAGCTTTTGTGCTTCAGGGTGGTGCTTGTCAACACTTTCTGCCTTTACGAAGCAAGGCTGGATGGACCAGGAACCATCTTCCGAGGAGGAAGGGACTTAACTACAATTTGGCGGCGTCTGTCTCCAGCAGAACCAACCTTTCCTGCTCTTTGTGCAAGGACACACCTCTCTAAGGAAGGAGTACAGGATTGCCATCATTACTACTGTCCTATTCTCACACACACACACACACACACACACACGCACACACACAAATAAATCAACTGTGTAATTACTCTCTGCAGGAAAGGCACACAAACAGGAAGAGCCCAAACTGAATTTAGGGTGAGCCATCCCAGTAAAGATTAGGAAAAAAAAAAAAAACGCCCCAACGTGCGCCTGCCTTGGGCCAGAGCTCTCTCCAGGGCAGAACAGGGAGGGGTCGCCAGGGATGGGAGGGAGGCATCTCAGTTGTTGATCCTCCCCTCCTCCCTGCCTCCCAACTCTTCACCTCCAACCCCCCC